TCATTGAATACTTTTACCTCAGTGTTCGCTTGAACACGCTGTAAGATGTCATTGGTATTTTTAGTGTCTAAACTCAATTAATTACAATGTGGGTTCAACAACCTGGGTACAACTGTGAATGCCTCGTCCTTGGTAAGCTGTTTATGAAACTTCCAAGAAACCATATGCCGTAATTGCGACAAATCAGCGGATATTTAGGCGAAAACGCGACTATTCAGTGGTTATTTAGGCGAAAATGCGACAATTCGGCGGACATTTAGGCGGAAATGCCACAATTCGGCGGATATTAAGGCAAAAATGCGACAATTCAGCGGATATTTAGGCGATAAGTGGGTAATTTGTCGACAGAAAGGCGAAAAAAGGGAAAATCCGCATTATTTTCCCGGGACAGGCGAGATAGGCGACATTCTGGCGCGTTTTCTCCTTTATTTCCCCTTTCGCCACCAAAGCATTTACCCCTTTATTTCCCCTTTTTGGGTTGTCTGGGTAAGCTACGAGTTGGTGTATTACTCAGTAGAAACGCTCTTAAATAAAAGCGTTCACTTGACGCCAACTGTCGTCTCGATGGATCGACAGAAATATATCCTTCTGTGCAAGGATGGTTGTGCAGTTTTAATAGAGGTGAGTTTCAACTCACCATTTACTGCCCGGACCCAGAATCCAGATTGACAATGGCAATATTTCAACCTGAAGGATAAATTCATTCGAAGTAAGGCATAGGTAGCTGACCAATGTCGTCTCCTTTGCCTAGTTTGTGTTGGCGGGTCAAAAGTTGTACGCTCTTCAGAAGAATGAAAATTACTATCATCATCTACATCCTGAACACAAGCATCTGACTCTGACGAACTGCGTTTACGTCAGATGTACAGACATATCTCACGAAAAAGTACTTTAGAGTTGGATCATCACTGTTCTTTTTGCATACTGACATAACATACTTAGTATGTGTATACTAAAGAAATAATTATTAACCACAGAAGTCATATTACCTTATGTACTTCTTTAAAACAGGTCTCAAAATTGTCCCAACTTGTAAATCTTCGAGATAACATAAGGTCATTGAAGATTTGTCCCATATCGTGCATCATTACGATGGCATCGTCTTCGTTACTTGAGGAATGAACGTTATCAGACATGGTGTGGCTGAACTCAATTCAAATTTATAAAATGTCCTGATTCGACCGCTTCTAAAACTTCATGAATTGTCGATGTGACGCACCAATCATTTTGCGACAGTTTGACCTTCAAGTGCTCGCAACCTCCTACAGTGGACGATACCCCAGGAGCGTTGTCGACATTGAGGCTGCATCCAATAGTGTCGCTTCTACGTTAACTTGTTTCGGACGGCGTGTTTCGATTTCAAGTAAGAATGTATGGGTTTTCTCCGAAGGACTGATTCTACGCACTCGTTTCCATTATTAAGCTATAAAAACTTGCTGTTTGCATACAACTGCTCAGAGGTCTAGTTTGAATGCACATTTGATTGTTAGCCTAGTTAAATGTTGACGTGTTTGCTCAATTACTGATGCTAATCTGGAGAGTTGCTTGAATTAGACAGATTTTGACAATACATGTTTCGAATATTGTCCAAGTCGCTAAGATCTTGAAAATATCCTTCCCGAGTTTAAGCTTTGAATTCAGTCTTCAGTAATAAGGATAGTCGGTTGATGAACCTGTGTTAATCCTGACACATTGCTTTCCAGTGAAGGTCCAGCTTTTCCTTGAAAGTATTCACTGATGGGGCTGATACCACTTGTTCGGGTAAGGCGTTCCAATGATTGACTACTCGATGAGAAAAACGGGATCCCAATTTAAGTTTATTAGATCGTGGTTTATGAACCTTCTTGCTATGACCTCGGAGATTAATAGTGCTGGAGGGAGCAAAAAGATAAGACATATTAACACCCAAATCATAATTAAAGATACGAAATGCCAGTATAAGGTCACCTCGTGTCCTACGATACGACAAGGGGAAAAGATTTAGGCGTTTTAAACGCTCATCGTAAGGGAGTCTAGAAAGACCCTTCACTAATTTCGTTCCCACACGCTGGACACGCTCAAGGGAGTTAGTATCCTTTACCAGACACGGGCTAGCTGCTTGGATACAGTACTCTAAATGTGGTCTAACATATATGGGATATAAAATTCTAAACATTTCCTCGTCAAAAGATTTGAACGCTCGGCGAAGTGACCATAACGCACGAAAACCTTTGACAGCGGCTGCTTTGCAATGCTTAGTTGTTTTTAAATCATGACTTAATATTACTCCTAAGTCTTTATGCTCTTGAACGCATGGAAGAGGTTTACCCTCAATAGTGTAACGGTAACTATTACCGTGACCGATGTGCATTAGTACACTCTTCCTAGCATTGATTTCTAAGCCCCACTCTCGAGCCCATCTAACTAAATCGTCTAAGTCAGCCTGAAGATCCACATGATCAGCCGCACTTTTTATTGTTCTCCAGATTTTTACATCATCCGCAAACAATAATGTCGACGACCTAAGTAACAGCGGTAAATCATTAACGTAGAGAAGGAAGAGTAGAGGGCCTAAGATGGTGCCTTGGGGTACACCACTTTTGACCGGCTTCCAATCGGATAGCGTTCCGTTGACCCTAACTCTGTCTGCGGTCACATAAGAAATTTCCTATCCACTCATGTACAGTACCTATTATTCCGAAGCTCGTGAGCTTCTGCATAAGACCTACGTGTGAAACCTTGTCAAACGCTTTGCTAAAATCTATGAATATCACGTCGACAGACAGACCGTTATCTAGGGCTGCTGTCCAATCCTCCCTCGCAATAAGCAAGTTAGTCAAGCATGAACGCTTGTTACGAAATCCGTGTTGCTCAGGAGCTAACAGATTGTGTAAATCTATGTGGCTTAGCAACCTAACCCGAATTATCTTTTCGAGTAACTTAACGACTATGCTAGTTAGACTGACAGGCCGGTAGTTAGATACTATCTGTGTCTGACCGTCCTTAAATATAGGACTAACTATGGCGTCCTTCCAATCTCTAGGGAGTTGAGCGAGTGAGAGGGACATGTTGAAGAGTGTCGCAAGCGGTTTTGAAATAATGTCCGCATGAGATGACAGCACCCGTGGATGTAACCCGTCAGGGCCCGGTATCTTACCAGGTTTGAGGTTAGTTATCAACGGAAGGACAGTTTCCTCAGTCACCTGTACAGATTCGATGGTTGGTATCTCGGTGTGAGTGGGACAAGTAAACGTAGAGAAGACTTCGCTAAAGTAGTCTGAAAAAGTCTCAGCTTTTGCTCGATCTGATTCAGCTAGTAATTCTGAATTGTCGTGTAACAGTAACGGGGGAATACTATCACTACGTTTCATTTGTCGTTTAACATACGAAAACAATCGTTTCGGACAAGTACGGCTATCATATACTAACTGTCGTTCGTAAGTGGTACGAGATTTGTCTATGGTTTTCTTACAGATATTACGGTATTTTTGGTACTCTCGCTTAAATGGTGCATGACCTGTCAACAAGAATAAGTCCCAGAAATATTTTCTACGCTTTAACAGCTTCCGGGTTTCCTTATTAATCCAAGGAGGGCAGTGTGATAGCTTACGTGCTGACCATGGGATAAACGGCGACGTTACGGACTCGAATGTAGCCTTAAACTTATTCCATTCATCTTCGATCAATCCATCCGCGTCGACCGACCAATCAGTCAAGATAGCACAGTTTCTGATTTCCGGAATATTGGCTCGCCAGATATTGGGACGGGGTGGAGCAGATACGAATTGTATACCATGTGTCCTAAACTTAAAGTGAATTACAACGTGATCACTGTTCACTAGTGGAGGAAGGTGCTGGATATCAAGGGCATCCTCAGAGTGGTGGGTGAGGGCGAGGTCCAGCAGTGACGGAACATGTTGCAAAGTGACGGAACAATTCCTAAACAAAACTGTCTGTAAGAACATCGTATAACAAATAGTAGTTAATAATACCCTCAATATGAGATAAAACTCATGTTCGTTTCTTTGTGGTGGCTTTGGCATCACGAAGTCAGTTTACATGTATCCTATATTAAATTTTCATTGACAGGGTGCTGAGCAACAACGTTTCGTTATTGACACTAGTAACAAATATAGTTTAACTAAGTCTGCGCTGTTTTTTCCAACACATATTCCCTCACACTGTATTCCGTTCTACCTACTTTACATTAAGCTTTCCAAAGATGCCAATTTGAAATGTTCCACTATCAATTTCATCTTAGGTTGTGGTTTGGTCCGCTGAGTTAATTTGAAGCACAGGAAGTGACGTCTACTGAAGAACATCAGTTACTTGTGGATGTGTAGTACATATTGGATACAAGATGATATACATGCTTGTAGGTAGTATGCGTCCTTATCGTACGGATATTTATATGTCCTGTGTCATCTCTTTTTGTATTTAGTCGTTTGTCTTTCTATGAACTATCGTTTCCACTTCAACATACTTTTTTAATATGTCCGCCTTTCATATAAACTTGGTGGCTCGGTACCGGTCTGAATTCCTCAAATGCTTCTCTTGTTTGTTCTCATTTAGCTGATCGGATATATCCATTTCTTTCCTTATTTCCCTGCCAATCATATTATTTGCGCTCGGTCTCAATAAAATCAACGCCATTACTTCCGCCTCTTTATTCATGTCGATTTCATCTCCTGACATTATAGTTTGTGAACGGGATAGTGAGTATTGATTTCAGGCTTTGTGTTGATTATTTTCAGACTTTCCAATTATTTCCAAGTAGTACTTTATCTACTTATGTTGAATTAACAAGCCATTCTTCGAATACTAAAATGTACCTACTGGTTTGTTCGTCATGTATTAAAATTGAAAGTATTCCCCATGTTTTAGTGCAAACATTCGTCATTTTTTCATTGTAATCTTGTTTATTTTCCAATTGTGTTTCAGTGTCTCCACCAAATCACCGGATACAACAGTAAAGTGCTTATCAAGTGCCAATTTATCAAGGTTTGACAGGTGTCAGCTAAATGGGCTCAATCTTTTCAAGACGCAGAAATCGGTCAAGAATTACGGAACAAGACAAAGCTATTCTAAGGTTGAAGAGGCAACGTGACAAACTCAATCAGTTGACCAATAAGCTAGATAACCGGATAGAAAATGAAAAAGTTCTTGCCAAGGAACTTATTAGGCAAGGTAAAAAGGAGTGAGTTTCTTCGTTTGACCCTTGTGATGACATTAGAACAGGTATCTGAGTCATTAATATTGTTGCCATTATTATTAATTCTTGATGTTGTATATATATCTGAGGGGTTTGAATTTCTGCAGATAGTTTTAATTTGTATTTTTTTTCCAGGCGGGCTCTGTTGCTGCTGAAAAAGAAGAAGTATCTCGAAAACCTCATTCATAAAACCAGTATTCAACTATCAAACATCGAACAACTTGTCAATGACATCGAATTCGCTCAAATAGAAGTGGAGGTTTTAGATGGGTTAAAGTGTGGGAACAAGGCTCTCCAGGATATCCAAAAGGTAATGTCGTTAGATGATGCAGAACGGATTATGTCAGAAGCTCAGGATGCTACGGAATATCAACGTGTAAGCTGTTCCATAGAAATTGTTCATATTGTATCTTTTATCAGGTTTAGTATCCATTCCTAGCTATACTGTGTTGTATTTGAGCGAATAACCCAAATGTTATTAGTTATGGGCGTTAGCATAAATATTTTTAGTAATAACCCGTGAAATTAATTTCGATGAACTGTTGGGATAGAAGCTTGCATAAATCAAAAATCACTTGTGTGGTTGTTTTGTTTCAATGTCAGGCCGTTGTGTGAATTGATTATATTGTTACGTTTAAATACTCAGGATGTTTGTCATAAATAAGTGTGTAGTCTACTGTATACATTTCCGATGTTAGGTTCAAGAAATTAATATTGATTCTGAGTAACAATTCTGCTGAAGGATCTTGGATTGTTAGTAGTTTTACTTTACCGCTAACGTACGACAGAATAATTTCAACGGATCTTGGAAACCTGCAAAATTAAAGCTTCCTTTGTCGAAAGCTAAGAGGCGCTTTACCTAAAATAAAAGATAAGATCCCGTTTACATCTACACAAAGTTATGTAGATCGTAATGCGTTCTACATGGGAGAATTTTGCCCGTAAGATCTCGACTTGTGCCAAAGAACACGTAAGTTACGCAAAAAGACCTCTTAGTAATCCTGTAGAATTGGAAAATCTACAAGTGAAATCGACAGTAGCAGTGCATACCATTCCAACAATCACCAAATTGATAATAAAAATATCAAAGTGATTCAGAAACGTTTTTCCAACTATGAGGAGAGACGACTAGCCGAAACGTTTCTCATACTGTTAAATCTCTCTGCCCTCAATAGAATGGAACGCTTGACTATTCATCTAACCTAGACTGTTTATCCAAACAACCGCATTTGACCCTATTCACTTTCCACACAGTCTACACACATACACTCTATTTTAACTCCACTACTTTATATTACATGTGTATAAATTTCCCACATCCAACTTCTTACGCACAAATTACTACAGTGACGTGCCATACAGAATCACCCTGACCAAAATAACTTGATATTTACACGTTCATACCTATTGTGATTTTGACTGTACTAAAAATATTCTGCGTTGTTTCGTTTGTACTATTTAAACTTGTGTGTTTCATTTCGGTCATTTATTTACTCTGAAGTGGCTTGCATTAAGTTACAAAACATCAAATACGATTTTCAACTGATAGGAATATCACGAAAATATATTTATTGTTATTATCGATAAATGTTAACTATTTTTAATTTCTGTCTTAATATGATTCGCACTTTGAATTATGTATTTAATTAAGAAATGTTGTACTACTGCTTCTTTCAGTGCACATGACTATTAACTGTTTAGTTTTCAACGTTTTCTTATAACTGTCAAAACCATTATAATATGGCGAGGTTTATCTACCGAATGTAGGATTATGTACTCAACTTTAGGTCGATATTTTAGTGTGGGGCCTAATTATGCTACCAGACTGCCTCAAACTGGTAGATACAATCGAATTGGGACCTGTGACCTATTTGTTGAAAGTCGAGTAATTTAATCGTCAAATAACTAAAGTAAAATAACAACTTATTGTAAACATATCGAGAAATGACACTATTTGGAAGTTACTTCAAAGGACATATTATTTTTTTTTAGGAGTTAGATGATATCGTTTCTGGCGGTCTGTCCTCTAATGATTACCACGAGATTGAGTGTGAATTAACTCGTCTCGTAGAACCTGAAGTTATCGATCTCCCACATGTGCCTGATCATCCCATAGATCCGTTTGTTGAAAAAAAATCAAAAGGTAACTCACAAAAAGTATATCTATGTCTCGTATTAATTATGTTTGGTTACTGTTAACTGATACTGATACACACAGAGAGGTAGTGTTTTGTGGTCGAAAAGAAGGTTAAATATTGAACAAAACTGGTCAGTATAATGTCATCCGTATAATAAGTAGAGATTATTGTTCTCACTCAGGTCTTTCATAATATATGAGTGAGCTCCATTATGTATCATGTGGTATAGTCAGTTTGCAATTCTTATAACTGTATGGATGAATAGCAAAAAATAATCGTACGTTCAGAACCTGAATTTATATGCATTTCAAATACTGTACTCATTACCTTTAGTTGTCTGGGTTCATGAGTAATCGTGGTAGTGTTGGGAAATTCATTTGAGATATTAGAGTTTAATATATAGCTTAACTTCTAATGATTGCTAAATAATTACATAATATATTCCTGTTATGTTGTACACAACTCTTATTGTAGTTGTGTCAGCAGGACAATGCTTTGATTAATGTATTTTGGAGACAAGATCCATTTTCAACGGACCATTGCTAGTAGATGAACATTCCTGTGCAGGATGTCGTTAATATACTGACTTCGATTGTTCGCTTTTCGGAAAATATGTTTGCTTGCTTCAAATTCTTGTTTTGATTTGGGACCAGTCGAATGATGTTGTGTCCAAAGAATACTGAACATTAGAAGATGTAATAGGTTGTATTTGTTTGTGATGTATATGAAACTATTCTGGTATTCTAACCATCTTTTTGAGTTCGTATTCAGCGTACCTCTTTCTAACAAAGTATTTGTTTAATTTTTTGATGCAATTTTAAAAGTTACTTCTTTAACGGATGCTCTTTTGTTACACATATAATCTTTAGCTGCTCTAGTCATTTTTACTGTCAGACTTGTTTTAGAGGAATTGGAAATTGATCACACTACGTACTGGTCATTGTTTATTTGAACACATGAATATTGGTACAAAATGGCACCGAATACACAAGTGACTTGATTTGTGTGTGGGCTATGATACTACCCGGGTGCTCAAGCCGAAGCATGTGGTTTTCTTAGGGGACCACACCTGGGGCCTTCGACCTAAAGATCTGATCCACAAGGAAGTGGAGCAACATCAGGAACTGCAGTCCCATGGTAGCTGGTGACCAATAATAGATTTATACGTCATTTGTCTCGTCTGGTTACTGGAGCCCATGTGCACCAGTGGTTTGGAATCAGGGTTTTCCAACTCCCCTAGGTGGATCCTCCATATCTACCAACCCGGTTAAATTGCCAGACATTCGCTTTTCGTCCTCCCAATTTCGCGAACAACACCCTCACCACGAGAAGGCAGCGAGTAGGACTTCCCCAGCAGTAGCTGTATACGCGTGGCCATGTGTGAGCATTTCGAGAGGGTGTTCGGACTCTCTCCACTCTCGGCATTTGAGGGTTACTTTCACTTTTAGTCTGCCATTTTTGTTGCTTTTAAACATCACAATTTTTACCATATAAATAGAGTTGTACCATAGTTTTGACGTCTTGTAATCGCGAGCTTGGAGTCTTTTCCTTTTTACAAAACGTATCATTTGTTAGCTGTTTTGTATCAAGTAAATAAATGATAAGGGCGGCCTGCTTGAGCATTTGGGCTACCTGTTCCTGCCATCTACATATTTCAACAAGTTATCTATTTTTGTCTGTTTTAATGTATAGTTATGTCTATTAATCGCATAACCTATTCTGCTGCGTTTCTGAAAAGTGCACAACCTTTCGTTGTCAAAGTTACAAAAAACTCAATAAGGGGCAATGTGGTTGCTGGCAATATGCAGCGAAAAGAATGCACATTATTCAGATGTTCATTTACTGAACTGTTAACATCTAACAGGCGATCACTCAATATTTATCGCCAGGACCGACCAAGAAGAAAGAAACGGAAAATTGTTGAAATACTTTACGCTGAGAATTCTATATTGTAGCAAAAATATAATATTGAATAAAGCTGATGATAATAATAATAATAGCTTAATGTCACAAATGCTTATTTTGCTTCCTTATTCTTATTTGACGGTTGTTAGCGAATGGTAAAGAGCTCTGAGCCTTGGTTTTATGTTAATTTGAACTAGTTATTGAAGTAAATCTATGATTTTAAGAGAATTGGTGCTTTTCGTGGGATTCAAAACTAAGTCTTTCTGTATCACGGCTGATGACTATAATTCAACTATTTGACTGGTGGCCAACTCATAGGACAGTTGTTTACTTTGATAGATCACTGAGTGATGTAAGATATTGTTCTGTTTTATCAGGCCTCAATTTTCTCTATCTTACGGTTTGTTTGGTATCCGTCAGTTTTTCACACATTTTATCATTAGTTGGTTAAAATTTGTTATACGTGTTTGTATATCCAGCCTTGTTCCATACTTTTCTCTGACAGTTATTTTACTCGGCTGTACAAGCGAAAGTTAACAATGTGGTTTTAGCCTGTAACCCTGTGATTTAAAATGAAGTAGTTTTCTATCTCCTGATGGTTTAAGACATTGATAGTATATTTTGTTAGCTTGTAAACATAGCATCGAGTAACTTGCTATACTCTACATTCATTTTTACATTTATATATAATGCAGGACTTTTGTGTGCAAAGTGTCCTCTGAGCCGGGTGGTTTAGTTGTAAAACTTTGGTTGGTCTTCTGAGGAACACCACCAGCACAACTTCCAAAAGTAGTCTCTATTTTCACAACTAAACCATCTAGCTCAGAAAACTCAACAATCCTCATCCTGAGCTATAAACATCCATCTCATTTCTCATATTCACTACATATAAATTCATTTAATCTGTGCATTATTTTAGATCCTGCACGCAGAGAGCGAAGCAGAGAAGCATTAGCAGTTGGTAGTTAAATTGAAGATGTCATCAAGTCATTTGGTATGAATACAAATGCTTCAAGTATTGACAACTGTAATGGAACAAATTATTTGTTTATACAATTGAATTTACTTATTTGTTATTTATTTACATACAATGATTTCCAATGTACATAAATTTGTATAGTGATCACGTCATTATTACTATTGTTCTGCTTACCCCTTTCTTCAATCATTAGCATAATATATGCATTATATTGATGTCCTTCTTTTTGCTGTGAAATACAGTATGCATCCCTATTCATCATTTAGTACTACTTTCAATGTAGATTGTTTTTTATGTATATGTGCGTTTCTGTATGCGTTACACAATTTGATTACATTTCAGAGTAGTGCACGGATTTGTAAGTATGAAACCACTGGTAAAGCACTTCATAACACGACTCTGCTTGAAAAACGGATATCTTGTCTTCATCTGTTTTTGGAAAAAACGAAATGTAATCTATAGTTATAAATATTTTTTTAAAAGTAACCACAATAATAAGGCTAATATTTGAATGAAGAATATTCTTTTCGATAAATTCTATTCAGGTTCTACAATTATTAATCCAAAAAGTGGTTGGGTTAAGGGCAAAGTGCATCGTTTAAACCATGTGAATTTTATTTGAACACATATTGGTACAAAGTGGCACCGAATACACAAGTGACTTGATTTGTGTGTGGGCTATGATACTACCCGGGTGCTCAAGCCGAAGCATGTGGTTTTCTTAGGGGACCACACCTGGGGCCTTCGACCTAAAGATCTGATCCACAAGGAAGTGGAGCAACATCAGGAACTGCAGTCCCATGGTAGCTGGTGACCAATAATAGATTTATACGTCATTTGTCTCGTCTGGTTACTGGAGCCCATGTGCACCAGCGGTTTGGAATTCGGTTAAAGCGCCAGACATTCGCTTTTCGTCCTCTCATTCTCGTAAACAACACCGCCACGAGAAGGCAGTGAGTAGGACTTCCCCAGCAGTAGTTGTATACGCGTGGCCATGTGTGAGCATTTCGAGAGGGTGTTCGGACTCTCAACTGTACCAGGGCATTCGAGGGGATTGTCAAACAAAACAGGATAAAATAGTTAGCGTTGATATGACATTTACACCTCTGTATGCCGTCTCAGTGGTCTAGAGGCTAAACATTCGCGCGCTAGATTGGAGGTCCTGGATTCGAATCGCGCGTGCAGGATCGTGGATGCTCACTACCTAGAAGTCCCATACTGGGACGATATGGCCGTTGGTTGCTTGCAAATTTGCAATGGTGGTCTAACACTGGTCGATTCAAGAACTTAAATAAGATCTGGTTATTATTGTGTCGTTATTTATGGGATTTTGTTGACTAAATTTGAGGATCCCCCCAAATGCCCTGGTACGGTCGAGAGTAGGGGGAGTTCACTCTCCCTCTCGAAATGCTCTCATGGCCACGTGTATACAGCTACTGCTGGGGAAGTCCTACTCACTGCCTTCTCGTGGCGGAGGTGTTTACGAAAATGAGAGGACGAAAAGCGAATGTCCGGCGCTTTAACCGGATTCCATACCAATAGTGCACATGGGCTCCAGTATCCTGTGGGAACAAATGGAGTATGAACCAATTGTTGGTCACCGGCTATCATGGGACTGCATCTCCTTACGATGCTCCATCGCCTTGTGGATCAGGCTGAAGGCTCGGGGTGCGGCCTTTTAAGAAAACCACCTGCTTTGGTCTGAGCACCCGGGCAGTATCACAGCCCTCACACATATCGAATGAGATTTGTGTGGCGCATATGTATTTGGTGCCTCTTTGTACCAATATCTGTGCGTTAAAATAAATAAAAATAATAAATAAATTTGAGGATTTTGTATAAAGGGACTTGAGAAAGTTTTAGCACAGATCTTATTTGTCAATCTAGTTGTACCCACTAAACAAACAAACTCAAATATCTCTTGGTGAATTATTAAAATCTAGTCCACTGGTTAATATTTATTTCATCGAATAGATATGCTCTGTATGAGGTGATTCATAAGGCGACTTTTAGTTATCGTTTTTTTGATTACATTTACTTATTGCTTGTTGTAATTGACTCTGACTATTATTAAATCTAGAATTGTCAGGTTCAGTGCAACTTGACAAACGAATCATAAAAAAATGACAGGTGTTTCATTGTCTATTCCGATTGTTATTGTAATCTTGATTTTTTGTAAACTGTTAGTTAAATTTATAGTCTTATCTATAAGTAATTGCGTTAGATTATTTCGAGATTGAAACTCAGTAGCTACTGAAAATTGATACAGAAAGTAACTTAAAACTCCGAATCAGTAATAGCTATTTGCCGACCGGATTTCTCATATATGGGAAATATCGTTAGTAACCCCTTTCCATTTATGCTCTAGAATTCCTAGGTTAACTATTATTGACGTCTAAAATTTTTTGTATCCAACAGTTACACTAACACTCCGCTTCTGTCTTATGCTTCTTATGAAAGCCGCTGGTTTCTTTGTATTGAATTTATACACTAGTTTATATATTGATCCACAGTTTCAAGTTGCCTTTTCGCCCTAACTTTAAAACTAATCACATCAATCTTAGAAGGATTAGATTTTTATTTTGTGGCTTCAATTTGTTGCATTAAGTTTTGAAGTTTCATAAAAATTAATGCACTGATTCGCCACAAAGCGTAGCTGATCTACCTTGAAAATCGAACCGATTCGTTCACATCAGTCTAGAAGTTCACTTGGAGTACTTAACGTTACATTTTATTAATCTGTAGCGAAGGTGATAAATTATTCTGGTATCTTTATTCATATCTTCATGTTATCTATTTTTACGGTCTTATTATTTAGTTATCATTATTTACATTGGAGTGATTATAATTAATGTTAAGGTATATACTATCTGTCTTGCTGTCCCGTTATTTCAAAGATTACTGAAACCTTTCATAACGTTATTTTACTGTAATCATCTTATGTTGCCAAGGTATTCTGTACATAAGTTCTCTTATTTATTAGTCGCTTGAGAATAGTCCATAAAGTCCTACTCAGTCAATTATAATTATTATTGTTAATCTCGTGTTAGTGATTTTTTCTAACTCGTAATACCTAATTTTTTTAAAAACTAGATACAATATCTGTCATCTATGTGATATATGGACCGTTTTCGTTGGTGCTCAGACGATGTTGAAAATTACGGATCGACCAATCAAGATAGTCTATATGAAGAAACAGTAGTTTTACAAAAAACTGGCGTCCGTTTATACGATGGACCTAATCGAAGTGCTTTCGATGGCGGCTTACTCAAGCTGACGACTCATCGTATCTTATGGTCTGATCCTTTAGCACTGACAAGTTCTTTTATAGCTCTTCCATTGGCTGCTATAATTTCTGTAAAGGTTGAGGAGGGTGGTGGTAGTCTAACAGTAAGCCGTACACCGAAATTGATTCTTCGTCTGTTAACTGTCGCAGCGCTACAAAATGTATTGGCAAGTTTACCGAATCCTCCTCAGTGGATTGAACACTGGTGTGAAGGTGTTGGAGGTTCTGGTTCTGGAATCGACAGTATCACTTTTAGTGCGACTGCAGTTGTCAGCTATTCAAAAGAAGATCATGTCAAATTAGGCTTTCCAATGGCTGGGCATCATGAATTTCTACAGTCTCTAAACGAAGTTCTAAAGGTACATTTATGAAGTAATATATTTTTGAACGTGTTTTATTTAGGGTTAGTAAATTGTAATCGGTTTAATATAATATTATATGAATCTGAATTTACACTTCTACACGTGTGCTATTTGTGAATTAAAATTTACTTAAAGAAGCTATGTTTATGATTGTAAAGTTGACATTTTTTGCTGTGATTGTCATGTAATTGTAAACATATCTTGACTGTGAAGTCAGACGTTTTCTTAATACTTGTGGAGTATTTTAAAAAAATCTATTTTAAAAACAAACGGAATTTTTCGTTATAAATCTAGGTAAAACTGTGGACATTGTCTTATCATTCAGATTTTAAATTGACATCTAAGTCGTTTGGTACCGGAGGTATTGGGGCAATTCAAAGACAACAAGCTGCACGTGCTGTTGAAACTGATCGTAATATTACCGAGGCTTTTGAAGATTTGAATCAACTTATGAACAACGCAAGTGAAATGGTTAAATTAAGTCGTCTGTTGGCTAAAAAAGTTCGCGATGCAAAAGTAGGTGTGTTTTGTTTTTAAAATGCGAACAAAATATTTAGTTCTTTCCATTATTATTCGTGAAAATTCATCTTTTTTCATTGTTTTGTTTGATATTTAGTACTGAGTTTTGATAGAAAACATACTTTATAAAGAAATTATAATTATATCGTAGTTTGTAATCTAAGGAGTACTTTCCTATTTCAAGTTATCAGTCGTACCTAAGCAGTGTTTTTTGAGTTTGCGTTTTATGAGATAAAGTTGGTCTCCTTACTCACTCATTTATTTCAATGTTGACTGACAATTACTTAGATTATTTTCTAACATATGGTTTTCATTAGTTTTTCTTCTTAATCAATTAATTGTCTGTCTCAATCTTTTTCTTCAGGGTAGTGATCTATCAGCTAATGAAATCGCTGAACTACGTTCGGCCATGCTATCAATGGGAGTTGTAGAAGTCGTAAGTGGTGGTGATGACAGACGATCCTCATCATCACTCAGCGGTACGACTTTCTATATTCGATTAGCTCATCAGGTATCAAGTATACTGTTTCCATTACTAAAAGGTCAATGTTCCAATCATTCGGCTGATCGCTTACATACTAGTTGTATTGATTTAGCAACAGCTTATTGTCGAGTTAATCGTGCACGAGGTATGGATCTAATATCTCCGGAAGATTTACTTAGAGCCTGTCGTTATTTAGATAAAGAAAAACTACCCATAAGGTTGAAGTGCTATGCAAATGGACTTCTAGTAGGTGTATTTTGTCTGTTAGTGTAATTATTATTATTATTATTCAGCTTGTGTAAATTTTTAAAATTACTTTTGTTTCGTTCGAATGGAATATTCTTGCTCTGGGATTTTGTTATCCAGTGAGTAATTTCATGTAACAAGTGGTTTATTTCTTGTGAAACAATTCCTAAATCTTCATAATTCGATAGTAATACCGTTAAATAAATTTAAAACAATGCTTTTATGTAAGCTGAAGACTGTTTTGCACTTTTTATCCCGATAAATTACTTTTCGTCTACTAGTTCCACACAATTTTACCATGGAACGTGTTGAGGATGCTAGATCCCCAGAACTCACTTGGTAAACGTTTATTTTTGTAATTTTATTTATTTGAATTTCTTGTTTTCGCACCGAAAGCACCCATTTTCACCTTCATATCGTATTTCCCACTTAGAAAGACCTTGAATGTTATTTGTTCGTTGTCGGTTTTAATATGCTATTTTGTGAAGTTTCTCAACGATATTTGTATGCTGTATATATACGCTTGAGTTGTGCTTGTTGTTATTGTTCGTGTTTCTGGCTGCTTGTGGAATACACCTCCCCTCTTCTGAACCTGGACTTCTCTTCCTAGTTAGTAGGCTGTGACGCATCGGAATAGTTAGCTTATCTGGTCATTGTGTCGCTGAGTCTTCGTTCCGTCCTCAGATTTAGATGATCGCATAATGTCTTCAAAAATAGCAAAACGGTTGGTTGCTCACTAAATGTTTGGTCATGTATTTTTGCGGACGAGACAAAAAACTGAACATTGCAAACTTCGAAAGCTAATTTTCAGGAGATGAGTACTTATATTCTTAACGTGTTTTTGTTGGACACTTAGATTAATAGATTTTTATATTGAACTAATTGTAAGCTTTCATTTGACTAATTGGCACTATTGTTATGACGTTTTCTGTACTTGAGTTATTATAAATTAATGGTGAACCTGTAATTTAGTCCTTGTATCGAAAATGTTCTACTTGGGGCATATATTGTAATCTCTTGTTTGCTGTGTGCTGTTGTACTGTAAATGTTGTATATAATGTGATTTTCCATGTCATGTATAGAGTTTACATCGACTGTCTTACTACCTCATTCCAATTGAGGTTTGGCGACAGAGAAAGTTTGCGTACGCTGATAAATGTTTTGGATATCTGGTCACAGGGTCCGGGGAATTAATATTATTAGATTAAGGTTACAGTCAAAGGCTATATCAGTATTCAGACTCAGTTAACTTACTTATGGCAAAAGTATGGACAAGTTTCTTTTGTAAGTATTGTTCAGACAGATATTTCTGCAATGTTAATAAACGAAAACACTGGTTTTTACGGTTTTCTATTGGCTTTTTAGATGGTTATAGATGACAGATGTTTAAATAAAATAACATGTCACAGAGTGCTTTTACTTCTAGGCTTATAAAGCCACTGTTACTTCAATTCAAACATTCAGGACGGTGTTCTTTGTTTCTTTAGTAGAACATGCATCTACTGAATGATACACCTAGTACTACAGAAACGATCAAATTGAAGAGATCAGATGCAAGAAATTATTCTTTCGGTTATCGACCAATATAGGTCGACTGAGTATTACTAATCTCAAAGTTGATACAAAAGTTTTTTGGAGTAGTTTTGAAATTTTCCTGCTAAAGATGTTAACCTTTATCACCCTTAAGGTCAACCTTCATGGAAATGATTTTCAATATATTGTGAACCTTTATTTTGTTTTCAACTTTGCTTAACAATTTGTTTTTATTTTGTATTTAGTGCTATTCTTATACTTTAAACATTTCTTAATTTTCTTCGTCTTATTGGTTTATTGATTTTTCTTGACATGCGAAATATCATGATTTATAGAAAATATAGGTAAATATGACACTAGCCAGTAATAAGTGGTCAATCCACTGGAAATATTTTAGTCCTTAAGAGGTCGGTCGCGCCTAGTGGTAGTCTCAGACTATGGGGATGGGTGACGCCAGTTTGGATCCCCCGAAAAAGAACACCATTTATCTCAAGATTATAAGTATACGTTGCTGATGAGTGTTGACTAGCGCAAAATTTAGATCGACTTAGGTTCCCACTCGACTATATCCAACCACTCAAGATATACGATTGTCTGAAGTTGTATTCAGTTTCTGTTGTTAAGTCTAAAATGACCTTTGCTGTGCTTGTTATTTTGCTCTTTTTCTTAAATGTGGTTTTGACTTTTCCTGCCAATCTTCTGTGCACGTAGATTTTTCATGTTTAATGCAGCTGAAGACGCTTTCCACCCAATCGCACTGTAACTGTGTTTGTGTTTATGTAAGAACTATTTGTTTGATTTCATCTACATTGATCTCCTTGATCAATAATTTGCTGAGCAAGTTATCTTTTTTTCTGACTAGCTAAAGCCGAAAAGAAAATGATAAGTTTTGTTCAATGTTAAATAATCGAGTACAAATGTTATTCACTATATAGTCAAACTATATCAATTTATTTTATATTTCCAATGGAATTTTTTTTACACTTAAGATCTAAAATGTTTATTTTATGCATTTTACTAACAAACATAAATTGTTTTTTGATTACCAACTACATTTGTTTATTTTTAGGTTCTTCAGCTGGCATCTGAAGACGAAATGGAAACATTGAGATCTACCGTAGAATTAGTGGAAAAACGCATTAGTTTGTCTGTAGATGAACTTGCTCATATAGTCAACCTCTCTCCTTTTTTGGCTAAGGCAAGATTATTGGCAGTTGAAGAAGTCGGTCTCATTTGTCGTGATGATAGCGAAGCTGGTTTACGTTTTTATCCGAATTATTTCTTAACTCGTCAGGATTAACTATTATAAGTTTTTTTCACTTTTGTTTTTGCCGAAACTAATGTTTATGTTTTTTGATCATTGTATTCGAAATAAAAATGTGAACTAGAGAAATCTTTATTTTTTGATTTTATAAACCGCATGTGTAACTTTTTCACACAATAAATATGAGTATCATTATTTAACCTGATAATTTCATATCTATTCAGCACTAAATAGACTGTTTATAATGATAAAATAAAGGCGTAGCGACTTTGTGTATATCGTTTCTTCAGCGAATAGATGACTAAATATTATGTGAGTGTTATTTGTATATGCTCGTGTGAAAAATTTAATACTTAAGTGTAATCTACTTAAAGTCGTATCCATTAGAATCAGATATTTATCCGTTGAAGAGGCTATCTACACTAAATTGCGAAGCTTCAACAATTCAGTTTTCTACTTGTTAGAGTATTATAACCTTATCGTTATTTTATTATTTTTTTAAAAACGAATTTGTGATGATGAAGTATACGGTGTTCTTATTGTTTTTAAAATTATTTATGCATGGAGTGCATCTAGTTTGGGGTTCTTTCAGGTCTAGTAAACAATAGAATATTTTTACCTAAGTAAGAGTTCCATTTTGATAGCTTTGAACTTCGAAATAAGGATGATTGAATTATTACATATATAATTAATTCCAGATTTATTTCAGTAAGGATTGATCGATAGTTTCTCTGTCGCATTTGTGAATCAACTGTACCTTAATCTACATGTCCGACTCACGCTTAATTTGAGCCCTAACACCTGAAATGTTATTTATAACGAGGTACCCGAGTCTATGCTTAATAGGTGAGCTACGTAATAGTACATGTATATGAATTTAAGTTATTCGTTTGTATGTAAAACCAAATAACTTTTTATTTTGGGTATCAGTTGTTTCAATGAAGTTATGAAGACATGGGTATTTGTTTAAAGATAACCTCGGCGTAGTTTATATAACCATGTGTGTCAGCAAAATCACATGTTGTGCTAAGTACAAAAAGTTTCACGATATTTTATTTTAGATTTAATAATTCTAAATGTGGTAGTAGAAATGAACTGCTATAGTTGATGTTTTATTGTTGATTACCACTCTGTAAAACAAACGAATAAACAGTTTATGCTTATAAAATTGACCGTATTTTTAAAGTGTTCTGTAAATATGTTACTTAGTGTTTGTCAATCAGGGGTTTGCTAGGATTTTCGATTAAGTTTTTTCATCTACTCCGACCTTGGTGATAGTGAGAGACTAGCATCGAAACAGTCGGCGTATTTTTTTACTGATTGTTTTTTCGTATGTGTAATGTATTTTGCCACATACGGATGTGATTCCTAGTTTCTAAACAAAAACGCAAAATATTAGAAGTTACTTCTTATTGTCGATTTCGAAACTATTGAAAACTAGAAAGTACTGCATAACTGTTACATCCTAGTTGAAGGGAAATCATTGGCAGTGCTCCTGTATTAACTTAGCTGCAGTCAGACACGGTAAATTTGGGTGGTTATCAGCATAGGGCTGTGGAGATTAAGATTTTGATTCAGATCATGATAATTCATGCTGAGAAGTCCCACAATAGGACGAAACGGCCATACAGTGCTTCCAGGTTTTCAATGGTGGTCTAACATCAATCGGTTCATGATCTCAATCTAAAATTTAGGTGGACTGGTTTATAATAGACTGGTCATTGAATGGTAATTAATGTTATGTAAATCAAGTCCTTAGTGCTGGTCGAATTTCATCGATCAAGTTCGAATCTGGTTACCAGTCTAAGCGACTGAACATCGCGAACATTACGTTGAGACAACAGGAGATCAACATGCGATAGAAAGTATCAGTTTCTCTAATGTTACAGATACTTTATCGACAAGTGCCAAACATGAAAACTAGGTCCAGTGTTTCCTGTCAACTACCTCCAAACAGTACCTTAGATGTAATGGACCACATTTCCGACTCTTATCAATTCGTGATATTGAACATCCGTCATCTATAGTGGCTTCAGTGGTAAGTTCCTCATTACCATACGTAGTTGTTCTTCAGGGTTACTGTGCAATATCATGAAACTAGTTACCAATAAACATGACTGTAGTCACCATTTATTTGTATCTGAATTTTTCAATTACTGAGGTACATCAATTTGTCTTTGATGAACAGGTATTTAGGCTCTCATCATACCGATTTAATGATTTTTGTGAAACAAATAATAAAACCAGTTATCATTAGTGTTTAATACTATTGAATATGTCCTCACATGTGCGTTATTTTTGAAAATTATAAAATTAATTAAATGGAAATTAGTAGGATGAGTTGAAAGCGGAATGACGTATTATTTCGGAGCTATGCCAACAATTTCAACCAGTCAATTCAATATCATGGTGAGAATCGACGAGAAACAAACATGAAGAGTAAATGTTAGTTTTTTCGTGCATGGAAGGATCTGTAACATCAGTTGTTTTCCAGTTCAGTAAGAAAATTCTAAATTCACATTAAACATTGTAGGTTCGAAATGTTCTGTATAGTGTTATGTGCAATACTCAATTTTTTTTAGTACAACATTATACAGCTAAGATTTCTACACAATCTTTTATATGTTGTTGAAATGACTTGTTTGTAAAGTGCTGTTGATTGTGACGGCTTGTTTACTGCTCTCGTTTCTAAACCAATAAATAATTTGGAACTTGAATAGTTCAGCGGTAATATTTCTAATTAGCTCATTGCATGCCACTTGTTCGAATCATGCAGAGGACATTATTTCTTCCTGTCACGATTGCACGAACATCTTGCTAACTAGTACTAACACAAGTTTTCTGTCACAGGCTTACGATTGCTTGTTACGAGCAACAGGACTAAACCAGTTAGTTACATTTTTAATTTAAGATATATCTGCCATTAAGTTAGGAAGTTACCGACTACTTTTACATTATCTGCAAGATAAGACGATTTGTTTATGATAAAAATTGAAGTGTAGAAAGTGACAGTCAATCAGCACGTTTGAGTGAGTTGTCTGACTTTTGTTATTAAACCTGATATTGTTTATCATATCTATCATCTATCCATTCTATTTACTGATCTTTTGTTATTAATTAGGCGTGTTGTTCTTGAGCAGATGAAGATAACAAATCCCCCTCTGTTTTGCAAAGTTTCATTTAAAATTTCACGTGTTTACGCTTTAACCAATATAGTAGTGAAAAAAACCTATCATTGTTTGGAAGATGTAACCAATTCATTTCTCATTAACTTGTCATTGAGTCTCGAATTAATTTTTCCCAATTCTTAGGAGACTAGTAAAATAAAGCAGAATTAAGGTGTTCACCACCTATACATATCATGTGGGTTTTTAATTTTCGCAACAGTAAGAACAATCTTTCTAATATTACATCATTCTTAATAGCTTAAATATATGGTAATAATGTATTATTACTTATCCAAATGATTCACTATATTGTATTATTCTATTGTAATGTACATAAAGCTCAATAGAATTGAGTTAAATTATCATAAACTGATTTTGAAGTGATTTAAATTCTTTCAATGTGTGTGTTTACGTTACTTACAATCTGTTGTGTTGTATTTAAATAAATATGCACTATGTTCATATACTGTATACTGTTTGATTAAACAATTGCGAGTATTTGAATTGGTGATTATAAGACTTACTTCTGGTTGTACATTCCACTGAGAGACATGACCCATCAACTTGATCTAGAAAAAAATGTTATGTGCTGTATTCTTCGTTTTGTTAGTGGCAACATCATAACATATGATGTTCATATGAATATATTGTAAGCTGCTATTCAGTTATTTTGGGTTTCGTATTTTTTATTATATAGCTGTTTGACAAATTCGTTCCATTTTGTGTTTTAATCTGCTCACATCACGTTTGTGTTAAATCTTAAAATAACTTCGCCTATAGCACTTCTAGGGTTACTGCTGGCTCCAAGTCCGGATTGAGGAGGAGGGTTAGGCATGGCGTCGGCAACCTTGTTGCATAGAAACCAACATTACTAAAACAACGCTAACCAGAATAAATATTTCAAAACACTTAGACCCTGCCCTTTGAGTTGAAGGATCATCATTCAGAAGAATTATGACGCCTCATGATGAAAGCCGAGATTCCTCGGAACTTACGATACCGATGCCCCTTCTAACAACCAGAGCAACAATTAATATAGACACATGGAATGCTCTGACAATGTGGGGGATCGAGAAGACCAATCAAATAATCCCGGAAATGAGCAGTTACAACGTGGCAGTGCTCTGAGTTAGTAAAGTCCACTGGACCAAAGTTGGATAGAAAAGGATAGATTCGAGAGAGATGCTGCTGTACTCTGGACACGAAAAAGAACATGCTCCATACACTCGAGGAGTTACTCTGATGTTGTACAAAGAAGCACGTAGTACACTCATAGGATGGGAATCTCATGGATCCAGGATCATCAAAGCAGCTTTCAAAACAAAGAATGAGAAAATCACAATGAATGTTATCCAGTGTTATGCACCCACCCATGATAGCAATGACGACGATAAAGACCAGTTTTACGAGAGGCTGTAATCGATCATAGCGAAGTGTTCTGGAAAGGACCCGACCATTTTGATGGGAGATCTAAACGTCAGTCAGAATAGACAACACCGGATATGAAGACATCATGGGATGACATGGACTGTGAGAAACGAACGAGAATGTCGAGAGATTAACAAATTCATATACTTTCAACAAAATTGTTATTGGCGGTATGATATTCACCCCTCAAACGTATACACAAAGCTACATGGATCTCACCGGACCACACCACAGAGAACCAGATAGATCATATATGCATCAACAAAACGTTCTGAAGGGCAATAGAAGATGTGAGAACCAGGAGAGGAGCTGATATAGTTTCAGATCACTACCTAGTTGTGGCTAATTTAAAACTGAAGCTAAGGAAGAACTGGAAAACTGGACAAACAGCATTAGAGAGGTTCAATACAGCCTTCCTTCGAGATACTGACAAACTCAATGAATTCAATATAGCTCTCAACAACAGGTTCCAAGCCTTACAAGATCTACTGAAGGAAGAAGAAACTACTACAGAGGACAAGTGGAAAGGTATAAAAGAAGCATTAACTTCAACGTGTCAAGAGGGTCTTGGCCTCAAGAAGCATCAACATAAGGAATGGATCTCTATGGAAACCTTCGACGATATCCAATAAAGGAAGAACAAGAAGACAGCAATTAACGACAATCGAACAAGAACAGAGATAGTCAATTGACAATCTGAACATACACAAGCAAACTAGAGATTTCATACGAGCATTGGGGTGGAAAATCAGAAGTGCGTGAAAGACGTATCAGCGACAGCGGTAAAAGTTGCAAGAGATGGAAACATGTGACAACTATATGACAACGAAGAAACTGACACGAAAATCATCAAACTACATTATGAGGCAAGCCCTGGCTCGGAATCCTGAGTAGAAAAAAGAAGCTAGGGAAGTCAAATAACACACTGCGTCGAGAATTGGAAGTAGACATGTAAAGGATGAATAGCAACGGGAAAGGATTACCCAGGACGGTGTTGGATAGAGAATGCTAGTGATCATCATATGCTCTTCCACGAGGAGTAACATTTGTAACTCAGTAAACCTTAAAATGTCCTTTGCCTGCTTATTTGTTAATAAGTACCATCTGTGAGATACAATCATATTTTTTCTTGTGGGTTCCACCTCCAACCTATTGCATTTGCACTGGAATTTTTATACTTAATTTTTTCTAAAGATAATTTTCCCGAAATCAAATTTAAATTATTAGTGTGTGTTTTTAGGAACAACGTTAGTCTATTTCTTTCTCAATTTTCCTTTTAAATAATTAATTTCTTATTTCATGATTCTTATTTTAGATATATATCAATTTCGAAAATTTGAAAATTTCTACTGTTAGTTGAGCTTACCTGATATCGTCTTTTACATGGATTATTTAACAAATATCATATTATATCTTAGCTTTTCTGGTGGATTTTTATTATGCTATTGTCTACGTCATACCATGATGGGACACGTTTTAAAATTTCTACTTTTGAAACCAGTATCCGTAATCTGGATAATTATGCCATTTGCGATCAGAAAAATGATTTCAGAAACAATCATTTGGTTCTTATTTGAGAGGTAATTTCTATTCCGTTTATAATTAATTTTTATACTTGAATTAAAAGTCGTTGCCATTGTGGATGGATAAAGTAGATTGAAGTGATTGGTGCCTGAATTTCAGTCATAGGTATTAACTACAATCCAGAGGTAGTCAATTTGTTCTTGATCATAGATTCATATATAACTTGTGAGATAACCGGTTACATTTTCAACAATTATTTATTGAAAAGAAAGATATTAGTACAAATAGGCACCATAAAAAATATGAGGCTCATAAATAAGGAAATAAAATTGTGTAGAGGCATAGGAAGGAATGAGGGATAATCTAAGACAACATGGAGTGAAATGACTTGAAATGGATGTCGATGCTTTTTACAGACTGGTTAAATGCAATTCTAAACGGTGCATGACCTGGAACAAAGTGCATTGGCCTGAATAACAAGGGAGGTGTTATTAAGATAATTGATGAACGACTAAATACGAGAAATATAATTTTGAAGGAACGAATAATCTTAGAGAATCATGGCATATTATAGCACCGTAAATTCATGAAATACGATTGCCGATCGGTTCGTTAATTTGTACATAAGTGAAGTACATCCATTTAGACATGAAATAGCGAATCTCTTCTCAAACCTGTAGATTTGTGAATCTATGCAATTGTCACAATGATAATTATTAACATGTTTCTTGATGATAACGACGATCTATTCAACGTAGCAACAAAGGAACAGAATATATGAATTTTTATTTTTATTTTAGAGACTAAAATCTTGAATGTTCATCAAGAATATCATGACAGTTAAGTGATGATTAGAATTTGTGGAAATAGATTGCATAATATGATACAGATGAATGTCGACACGGCAATATAGTACAGTTATAGAAACTGAGATCAAGCCAGTTGGGCGTAAAAGAGTCAGTTTGGTAGAAAAGAGGGAGATAGTGATAGCTTCCAAAAAAATTGGAAGTTTTGATCATGGTTGAAGAAGAGATTGAATTAGTTCCTTTTGTATGCAGCACTGGTTTCTCTAAATCTAAGAATAAGTTTTAGGAATGGTGAGTTGACCAGATATGATTACCTTTAACAGATTTCCACCAACCTTGTAAATGACCATGAATGTTTACTCTATTTTGATTGGATGAACTTTATTTGCAAAATGTTCAGTTATTGAACTTTTTATGGATTCATTACTGGCTATTTTTAACTATGCGAGATAGTGTTTTCGAACTATTTCTATTAAAGTGCATATCAAACGTTCCATATGCTTAACGTCACAGGAGTGGATGAATTTATAAACGCACAGTGAAATAGTCAGATGTAATAGCTGATCCTTAGGTCGAGTTGAGAAGAGAGTTTCTTTAAGGGTATTCGAAATCGCGCTTTTTAAGATGTATGAAGCTTTTCGCCTCTAGAAATGATGTTCATGTATAACATCTTTGAGATAAGTTACTGTTACTTTTGGTGTTTTGAGTTCTATCAGATCTTCTTAATATTGGAACATTGACAAAGTGCATATTAATTGTTTTCCACTCGAAGAATAAATCTTAATTTTCGTTAATATTATTGTAGAATATTATTCAAATCATGTATCTTATCACAAATACTAACAGTATCATCTATATACATATCATCCATATATACAGATGAAAGTTGTCATTGGTTGTATTTAAATGATTGTTTTGTAAAAATTACTTACGCCTATCACTCCTCCTGTAGGACAATAGGCCGCTCACCAGCATTCTCCATCCAACCCTGTCCTGGGCAATCCTTCCCAGCTCCTTTCAGTTGTTATTCATCCTCTTCATATCTGCTTCGATTTCCCGACGTAATGTGTTCTTTGGCCTTCCTTTTTTCCACTTCCCTTCAGGATTCCAAGTTAAACCTTGCCTCGTGATGCAGTCTGATGATTTACGTGATGTATGTCCCATCCATTTCCATCGTCTTTTCCTAATTTCTTCTTCAGCTGGAAGCTGATTTGTTCTCTTCCACAAAAGGTTGTTGCTGATGGTATCCGGCCAATGGATGTTGAGTATCTTGCATGGACAATCATTTATAAATACTTGTAACTTCTTAATGGTGGTTGTTGTAGTTCTCCAAGTTTGAGCTCCGTTCGGTAGAACTGCCTTGACGTTGGTATTGAAGATTGTGACATTGATATTGGTTGAAAGTTGTTTTGAGTTCCATATGTTCTTCAATTGTAGGAATGCAGTCCTTGCTTTTCCAATCGTCGCCTTTACATCAGCATCTGATCTTCCTTGTTGATCTATGATGCTTCCCAGGTATGTGTCGGATTCTACATCTTCCAGAGTTTCACCATCAAGAGTGATTGAATTGCTGTTCTCCGCGTTGTATTTGAGGACCTTGGTTTTCTCCTTGTGTATGTTATCATCATTATTATTATCATCAGCTTTATTCAATATTATATTTTTGCTACAATAATAGGAATTGAAGAGGAAGGTTGATTATGAATACAATGGTCTTGGGTGCTGTTAGAGGTATGAGGGCGGTTATCACTTCCCGGTTGCCCACACCGTGGAAGGGTTCTTCTGGAGGTACCTGAAAAGGAAATTGGATTAGAGGCGGTCTCAGCGACCTGAGAGCGTGACCGCAGTGCCCAAGGGACAACTGCTTGAGGCCGGTCGCGCACGGCCTTTTCGTGGAAGGTTTTTGACATGTTAGCTCCGTTCTTCAAAGGGCCTTACCGCCGGAGACGGAAATCCGTGGGGTAAGGTGAGGTGTGCATTTTTAGGGTCGACCTTTTCTAACCCCACCCCTCCATGTGGGAAGGCAGCATCGCTGTCATGCTGGTTGTCTGAAGGAAACACCTTACTGCTGTCACACCTCTGAACAGTCAGCAGTACGACTTCGCCTTCGGACCTTAGGTTTGTTGCTTTTAGTCTTACCGCTCTTCAACCGACCTGTCTGACATGGTAGGACCTTGAGGAACGGTTGTTCCCGCCAGTATAGCTCGGTTGCTTCATCACGATAGGCAAGCCCGACCACCACGTCAAGGTAGCAACAACCGTCGGGAATGGAACATTGAAGTAGGTCCCCCAACTCTTGCTGAAGTTCAAAAGGCTATAGATAATCTGAAACGAGGAAGGGCAGCTGGTCCAGATGGACTGGTTCCAGAAGTCTTTAAGGATGGTGGTCCAATTTTAGCGGTTAGGTTGACTAATATTTTAGCTAAGATCTGGGAGTTAGACGTTATTCCATCTGACTGGTCACAATCACTTATCGTCCCAATATATAAGAAAGGATCAAAATCATCCTGTGACAACCACAGAGGGATTAGTTTAACTAATATAATATCTAAAATACTAGCCTCGATAATTATCAGACGCCTAACTAAGACTCGTGAACTGCAAACACGAGAGAATCAAGCTGGCTTCAGACCTGGTCGTGGCTGCATCGACCATATATTCACCATTCGTCAGGTTCTAGAACATAGGCATACTTATCGGCGTCCGACGATGGTGGTCTTTCTTGACTTAAAAGCAGCATTTGACTCGGTAGACCGCGAGGTTCTGTGGCAGTGTCTGTCATTGAAAGGCGTACCTCAGAAGTACATAAACCTTGTGAAGGCTCTTTACTCGAACACTACTAGTCGAGTGAGAGCTTATGGCGAACTGTCATCTACTTTTGTAACCTCAAGTGGTGTCCGTCAAGGATGTCCACTTTCCCCATTTTTGTTTAACTTCATCATAGACCTACTAATGGAAATAACTTTCTCGTCGACTGAGTTCTCGGGTATTGATCTCCATCCAGGAGGTCCACTTATCGACTTAGAATACGCAGATGACATAGTCCTGTTTGGTGAAGACGCTGACAAAATGCAGAGTCTTCTGGTAGCACTGAGCAACAACGCCAGGATGTTTGGAATGCGCTTCTCTCCCTCTAAATGCAAGTTGTTGCTTCAGGACTGGTCTGCGTCAACACCTGAACTAAGGATAGGGAGTGAAGTAGTCGAACGCGTTGACAACTTCACTTATCTTGGAAGTCTGATCAGCCCTAACGGGTTGGCATCGGACGAAATCTCAGCACGGATTCGAAAAGCCCGTTCGGCTTTCGCCAACTTACGTCACCTGTGGCGAAGGCGAGATATCCGTCTATCAATAAAAGGACGAGTATACTGCGCGGCAGTCCGTTCTGTTTTAATTTACGGCAGCGAAACATGGCCTTTAAGGGTAGAAGACACTCGTAAGCTACTAGTATTTGACCACAGATGCCTTAGAAATATTGCTGGCGTCTGCTGGGATAATCGGGTAAGTAATAGTGAGGTTAGACGCAGGGTATTAGGAAATGATGGTAAATCAGTTGATGAGGTTATGAATCTTCATCGACTGAGATGGTTGGGCCACGTGTTACGTATGCCTGAACACCGATTACCACGACGTGCAATGCTATCCGGTATTGGAAATGGTTGGAAGAAAGTTAGGGGCGGCCAAACCAAAACGTGACATCAGTGCTTGAAGTCACTAACTTCTAGTCTGAGCCATGTTGGTAGATGCAGACTACTTGATTGGGGTCCGCGTGACTTGCGTAACCAATGGTTGGAGACTCTTGGTGACATGGCTCAGAATCGATCACAATGGCGTCGGTGTATACACTCCCTGTCTTCCCTTAAACTAAGAGATTAAAATCGATTCATATCTTTCTTTCTACGAACCAATTCTTTCTCTATATGCAATCTTTCTCTTATATATTACCACCTTTTACCTAACCACTGTTATGAATCCGGTGTTCATCTTGTTGTGCTGATGCGGTATGGCAACCTGGACCGATGCACATATGTGCCTGGTCCTACGTTGTAACTGACTGACTGACTGACTTTTGCTACAATATAGAATTCTCAGCGTAAAGTATTTCAACAAGTTTCCGTTTCTTTCTTCTTGGTCGGTCCTGGCGATAAATATTGAGTGATCGCCTGTTAGATGTTAACAGTTCAGTAAATGAACATCTGAATAATGTGCATTCTTTTCGCTGTATATTGCCAGCAACCACATTGTCCCTT